GGCTCAGGCAATCCACTCACCTCAGCCTCCCAAAGGCACGGGATTACAGGCTGAGCCACCGAACCCGGCTGGCAAGTTTTAAAATATGTTTTTTGGTCAGGCACAGTGGCTCACATCCATAATCCCAGCACTTTGGAAAGCCAAGTCGAGATAATTGTTTGAGACCAGGCCAAGACTAGCCTAGGCAACATAGTGAGACACCCCTCTCTACAAAAAGATATAAATAAAAAAATTAGCCGAATGTGATGGCACATGCCAGTAGTCCCAGCTACTTGGGAGGCTGAGATGGAAGGAGACCAGGAGGTTGAGGCTGCTATGATCGTGCTATTGCACTCGAGCCTGGGCAACAGAGTGAGACCCTGAGTTAAAAAACATGTGTGTGCGTGCATGTGTGTATATATATTTATTTTATTTTATTTTTTCTTTTTTTTCCGAGTTGGAGTCTCACTCTGTGACCCAGACTGGAGTGCAGTGGCTGCTCCCGGCCACCGCAGCCTCAACCTGCTGGGCTCCGGCGATCCTTCCGCCTCAGCCTTATGAGTAGCTGGAACTACAGGGGCGTGCCACCACGCCCGGCTGATTTTTGATTTATTGTAGAGATGAGGTCTCGCCAAGTTGCCCAGGCGGGTCTCGAACCCGCGGGCTCAGGCAATCCACTCACCTCGGCCTCCCAAAGCGCTGGAATTACAGGCTGAGTCACCGAGCCCGGCTATATATTTATTTATTTATTTATTATCATTTTTTTTTTTTTTTAGTTGGAGCCTCACTCGGTCGCCCAGATTGGAGTGCAGTGGCACGCTCCCGGCCACCACAGCCTCGACCTGCTGGGCTCCGGCGATCCTTCTGCCTCAGCCTTCCAAGTAGCCGGAATTACAGGCACACGCTACCATGCCCGGCTGATTTTTTTGATTTATTGTAGAGATGAGGTCTCGCTGCCCAGGCGGGTCTCGAACCCACGGGCTCAGGCAATCCACTCACCTCAGCCTCCCAAAGCGCTGGGATTACAGGCTGAGCCACCGAACCCCGCTGTATATATTTATTAAAGGACTGAGAGTTTTATGGAAGGCACAGAATGGTGTGAACAGCTGGCAAGAGTGCTTCCTGTCTCTGTATATTTATAAGGCACGGAAGGGTGGGATTAGCAGCTCTTGGGGAAGCCTGGCCCTAGCTGGCCTGTCGGCCTGTCTGTCACAGGGCAGTCAAAGCCACCGTGACCGTTTGCAGGCACCAACTTCTGTCCTTGGCTCAGAAACAGCGCCTGCCCCCACGTGGCCTTGGTTGAACCTAGGACCTGCAGGGCCAGAGAGATCGCACTGGAGTCTGAAGGAAGGGTGACAGAGGCGAGAGACACCTGTGTGTGGTGGACCACGGGAGCAAGCAGTGCCACCAGCTGTCAGGAAGAGCTCCACTATCTGGTGGTGGAAATGTGTGAGGATAGATGTCCACGGATGGGGGGGGCGAAGGCGGGGGGAGGGGTAAATGTCACAGAGAGCTTAGTGGGGGGGGCAGGCAGGAGGGTGCAGGGCCGAGGAAGGCCTGGTAGGTGGAGTGGAGGATGTTTGGACAAGGAAAGGCTTTGAAGCTTTTCTCTCGTCCTCCCTACTCGGGACCTGGTCCCCTCCCCTCCATAAAGCCATTAGCTTCTGGTGCCAGCCCTATCTCTGCTCCATCTCTCTTGGTTCCAGTCGGTGCATTCACAGACCTCCTGCCCTGAGGGACGTGGAGGATTTATGGGGGGTAGAGGGGAGGGGGGAGGGGCATCCTTTATAGGAGGAGAGGTCTTCCAGGAGCATCGGGTGTGGGGACTGTTAGTCGGCCTGGCCAGAGGCCCGATCATTTCCGAGCTGGCTCTGCATGACAAAGGGGAAGGAGCAAGTTTCTTCTTTGATCTGCCCCCTGCCGGCCCCACACACCTGCCTGTCGGTGACCCCCAGCCCCCCCACCGGGGACCTCAAGCTAGAAGAAAAACCAAAAGGGGGTGGGGGAAAGGCTGTGTCCTAGCTCTCCTGGATCCTGCTCGGGCCACCTTCCTCTCTTGGTGGCCCCAGGACAAAAACATCTCCCTGGGCTGATGACCCCAAGCACCTGCCGCCGCCTCCCGGAGAGCCTGGAGCCCCCGAGCGGCGCGGTGAGACGGGGCGGGGGCGGCCGAGCGGCGTGTGTGTCTGTGTGTCTGTTTGTGTGTGCAAAGTCGAGGTGCTAAGGGGACTCACTGGAGACGTGGGGTCACGCCCCAGAGGGAGGATGTGGAGAAACAGGTGGGAGGGGGGAGTCTCAGGGGGGTGTGTTTTTGTAGGCTCGCTCTAGATTCAGAAGCTCTGGGATTGTCCGTGTGTTTTGAAAGGCTCCAGCAAAGGTGTTCTTTGGGAGGGGTGGCACAGGCGTTCGTTACAACAGGCGGAAGGCCAGGGTATTGTGACTTCTGGAAGATGCATCCTCAGCACAGACATTTGATGCAAGAGATGCCAGGCGCTGGCAGTGTCCCCAAGTGGTACTGCTGGGCAAGGTGTTCAGTGCTGTCCCTCCCCAGGGCCACAGGACAGAGGAGGGCCACTACCTAGACACCGCCTCAGCCACCAAAGCTTTCTGGGCCAGCCCTGTGGCTTTTACATGTCTCAGAGAAGGTGCCTTGAGAAAGTCCTCGCTCTGTAAACAAGGGTCGGGATTTGGAAAACTTGGTTAGGGCCAGAAGGGTATAGATTGAGAGGGAAGGCTCTTTCTTTGGGTGTAGGTAAATTCAGTTCACTAAATTTTTTTTTTAACGCCCACAGAAGGTAGCCTAACGGTCAGAGAAATAAATCTCTAGGCTGGAGTGAGTGATAAAAGGGAGGAGTGGACAGGATGGTCCTCACTTATTTGGATGTTCTGGAACAAGGGCAGGCGTGCTTTGCAGAAGCCAGCGGCCTCCCAGACGCTGCAAAGAGCACGCGCTGTTCTTGATTTGTGTTCATTTCTCTTTTCTGGTTTCTCAGCTCAATGCTTCCCTGGGCATTAGATCCTGCGTAGGGTATGCACAGTTTGGGGTGAGAGACACAAAAGTCCTAGGGGGGGAGAACATGGGCAGCGGGAGATGGAGGCTGGAAAAAGACTGAGTTTCTTTTTTTTTTTTTTGAGTTGGAGTCTCACTCTGTCGCCCCAACTGGAGTGCAG